CTTAATGTATTTTTCTCGCAGGGATTAATATAAAGTCGGCCAAAAACAGCCAACTCGAGGCGGACTGCCGACGGGGGCGGTGGCGTCGTCGCCAAAGCACAACGGAGTCGCTGTGCCAGAATTTTCGAAATTGGCCAAGTAGGCCCTGGGATTGATTTTGGGTTTGTTTGGGTCATTTGTAAGTACTATTAGCGCATTTTAATTCCCGAAGTAAAATTTAAAAAATCCGGGAACCACTCATAGGCTTAGTCAAACAATGTAGCTGTTTAGTCATCGAATTGAGTGAGGATCTCTCACCTTATTCCCTATCATAGAACTGAAGTTTAAATAAATTATAATAGGATATTTTATGTGAATTTAGAAAATATGCATAATTGATTACAGATTGCTAATTGAGCCAGAACTGGAAATTCTTTATTGTTGTTTTGTTGATTGTTTTACAGTTTAAATGTATGATAGTACCTTATTAATTGATTTTATGGCTTTGAATACATATATGATTTATTCTATGTGTTTACTGCTGAATCGAAAAAAAAATATATTAAACGGTAAAAATTGTGTGATGAAATGAATAGATGAAACGACAGCCTTACTGGATATCTTGAGAGATGGTGGACGGACCGGGTACATAGAGAACCTTACCGTGAATGTTGTCTCATACCGGACGGAGTATGAGGACGGCCTGCTTCACCCTCATACTAGACGGAGTGTTGATGTTTGGTAAATTGACGCTCATATCGGACGGGGTATGAGGACGGCCCGTAATTGAGAATGTTAAATAAAAAGGTCCACGTGTAGTGGAGACATCCTTATGAACTCCCATGGATACCAGCAGACTGGTAAAAAGAGTGATACATGGAATCATAATCTGTATAATATTATTGTGTAACGGCCCCGAAAATTTAAAAGAAAATGCATATAATAATTTGAGTGCGGAAGCGAAATAAAGGTTAAGGTTAACATTCTTTACACGGTAACTTAAAAATACTAAACAAACATCACGGAATAAATTCTATGAAAGAAATACGAGAAATGAAAAAAATAAAAGAAACTATAAAGTATTTAGCATCTA